AGTGGCGGTATTTGAGATGGTAGGGGTATTAGAGGTGGTAGTAGTATTAGTGGCGGTATTTGAGATGGTAGTGGTTTATGTGGCGGTATTTGAGATGCTAGTGGTAGTAGAGGTGGTAGTGGTATTAGTGGCGGTATTTGAGATGGTAGTGGTAGTAGAGTTGGTAGTGGTATTAGTGGCGTTATTTGAATTGGTTGTGGTAGTAGAGTTGGTAGTGGTATTAGTGGCGGTATTTGAATTGGTTGTGGTAGTAGAGGTGGTAGTGGTATTAGTGGCAGTATTTGAGATGGTAGGGGTAGTAGAGGTGGTAGTGGTATTAGTGGCGGTATTTGAGATGGTAGTGGTATATGTGGCTGTATTTGAATTGGTTGTGGTAGTAGAGGTTGTAGTGGTATTAGTGGCGGTTATTTGAATTGGTAGTGGTAGTAGAGGTGGTAGTGGTATATGTGGCGGTATTTGAGATGGTAGTGGTAGTAGAGGTGGTAGTGGTATATGTGGCGGTATTTGAATTGGTAGTGGTAGTAGTGTTGGTAGTGGTATATGTGGCGGTATTTTAATTGGTAGTGGTAGTAGTGTTGGTAGTGGTATATGTGGCGGTATTTGAGATGGTAGTGGTAGTATTGTTGGTAGTAGTATATGTGGCGGTATTTGAGATGGTAGTGGTAGTAGAGTTGGTAGTGGTATTAGTGGCGTTATTTGAATTGGTTGTGGTAGCAGAGTTGGTAGTGGTATATGTGGCAGTATTTGAGATGGTAGCGGTTGTAGAGGTGGTAGTGGTATAAGTGGCGGTATTTGAATTGGTAGCGGTAGTAGACTTGGTAGTGGTATTAGTGGCGGTATTTGAGATGCTAGTGGTAGTAGAGGTGGTAGTGGTATTAGTGGCGGTATTTGAGATGGTAGTGGTAGTAGAGTTGGTAGTGGTATTAGTGGCGTTATTTGAATTGGTTGTGGTAGTAGAGTTGGTAGTGGTATTAGTGGCGGTATTTGAATTGGTTGTGGTAGTAGAGGTGGTAGTGGTATTAGTGGCGGTATTTGAGATGGTAGGGGTAGTAGAGGTGGTAGTGGTATTAGTGGCGGTATTTGAGATGGTAGTGGTATATGTGGCGGTATTTGAATTGGTTGTGGTAGTAGTGTTGGTAGTGGTATTAGTGGCGGTATTTGAATTGGTTGTCGTAGTAGAGGTTGTAGTGGTATATGTGGCGATATTTGAGATGGTAGTGGTAGTAGATGTGGTAGTGGTATTAGTGGCGGTATTTGAATTGGTAGTGGTAGTAGAGGTGGTAGTGGTATTAGTGGCGGTATTTGAATTGGTAGTGGTAGTAGAGGTGGTAGTGGTATTAGTGGCGGTATTTGAGATGGTAGGGGTAGTAGAGGTGGTAGTGGTATTAGTGGCGGTATTTGAGATGGTAGTGGTATATGTGGCGGTATTTGAATTGGTTGTGGTAGTAGTGTTGGTAGTGGTATATGTGGCGGTATTTTAATTGGTAGTGGTAGTAGTGTTGGTAGTGGTATATGTGGCGGTATTTGAGATGGTAGTGGTAGTATTGTTGGTAGTAGTATATGTGGCGGTATTTGAGATGGTAGTGGTAGTAGAGTTGGTAGTGGTATTAGTGGCGTTATTTGAATTGGTTGTGGTAGCAGAGTTGGTAGTGGTATATGTGGCAGTATTTGAGATGGTAGCGGTTGTAGAGGTGGTAGTGGTATTAGTGGCGGTATTTGAATTGGTAGCGGTAGTAGACTTGGTAGTGGTATTAGTGGCGGTATTTGAGATGCTAGTGGTAGTAGAGGTGGTAGTGGTATTAGTGGCGGTATTTGAGATGGTAGTGGTAGTAGAGTTGGTAGTGGTATTAGTGGCGTTATTTGAATTGGTTGTGGTAGTAGAGTTGGTAGTGGTATTAGTGGCGGTATTTGAATTGGTTGTGGTAGTAGAGGTGGTAGTGGTATTAGTGGCGGTATTTGAGATGGTAGGGGTAGTAGAGGTGGTAGTGGTATTAGTGGCGGTATTTGAGATGGTAGTGGTAAATGTGGCGGTATTTGAATTGGTTGTGGTAGTAGAGGTGGTAGTGGTATTAGTGGCGGTATTTGAATTGGTTGTCGTAGTAGAGGTTGTAGTGGTATATGTGGCGATATTTTAATTGGTAGTGGTAGTAGATGTGGTAGTGGTATTAGTGGCGGTATTTGAATTGGTAGTGGTAGTAGAGGTGGTAGTGGTATTAGTGGCGGTATTTGAATTGGTAGTGGCAGTAGAGTTGGTAGTGGTATTAGTGGCGGTATTTGAGATGGTAGCGGTAGTAGAGGTGGTAGTGGTATATGTGGCGGTATTTGAGATGGTAGTGTTGGTAGTGGTATATATGGCGGTATTTGAGATGGTGGTGGTAGTAGAGGTGGTAGGGGTATTAGTGGCGGTATTTGAGTCGGTAGTGGTAGTAGAGGTGGTAGTGGTATATGTGGCGGTATTTGAGATGGTAGTGGTAGTAGATGTGGTAGTGGTATTAGTGGCGGTATTTGAGATGGTAGTGGTAGTAGAGTTGGTAGTGGTATTAGTGGCGGTATTTGAGATGGTAGTGGTATTTGAGATGGTAGTGGTATATATGGCGGTATTTGAGATGGTAGTGGTATATATGGCGGTATTTGAGATGGTAGTGGTAGTAGAGATGGTAGTGGTATATATTGCGGTATTTGAGATGGTAGCGGTAGTAGAGTTGGTAGTGGTATATGTGGCGGTATTTGAGATGGTAGTGGTAGTAGTGTTGGTAGTGGTATATGTGGCGGTATTTGAGATGGTAGCGGTAGTAGAGGTGGTAGTGGTATATATGGCGGTATTATGAGATGGTAGCGGTAGTAGAAGTGGTATTAGATATCGTATAGTAGTACAGGTGGGTGTAGTATTCGCTAGAGTCGCGAGCTGTATACTCGTATGTATGTAAGCAGAGACCATCTCTGATGTAAGTGACAAAACGGCGTCACGCCAAGCCCACACAAATCTAACACAGAAGCTAGACACGGACTGTCAATGTAATAAGAATATTCAGGGAAATAAATAAAATCCACGAACCAGATTCAAAATCAGGACTTTTCCCTAAACTATGCATTCCCGAAAACGTATCAGTTAAAGAAGAATAAGTGACGTCTTATCGTATTTTTCTCAACAATGAAACACTGAGACGTATTATGGCTTCATCTGACCAATCAACATTGAGAATAGTTCTAAAAATTCACAATGTGCAAATACCGGACAGTTATCACATACGATCATTCTACTCGTGTGGCTAATATTCAGTAACATTACAGCTATATCTTAACGATAGTCAGGACCAGACAAGTCACCGACCAACAGATCCACCAAGGTCATCCTTTACGCCAAGGACCCCTGGAGCGATTCTACCTCAGTAGATCTATACATGTTCCGGTGAGAAGAAGTAGAAGAAACAAATCTAGCGTTCTTGACTCCATGTTTGGTAAACCATTTTTCTGCCGTTATGACACTGCACAAGAAGTAGCGTGTTGCAAGCATGGACCTTGACAACATCTGCGGCACCAACAACTTCATCCGCATTAGGACATCCGACGATGGACTACAGCTACTGTAATGCACCATAAGATGAGACTCGTAGCTAAGATTGATTTTACAACGTAACACCGACTTTTTTAAACCTAGAGTGACATGTTATAAGAATAATACATACATGTAGAGATCATTTTAAATCCTCAAAATGACGTTTCCAAAGGAAATACAAGGAAGTAGATGCGCCCGTAAAATATACGCTGTACTACGTGTATATAAACATTCCGAAACTATCTTCCCGAGGCAGGTGTGTCTACTATCCGGTATCAGAGCCCGTTGAAACTAGTCTTTGATATAGTTTGTTTGTTTGTTTAAATGTAACGCCGCACTCAGCAATATTCCAGCTATATGCATGACGGCGGTAAATAATCTAGTCTGGACCAGACAATCCAGCGGTTGACATCATGAGCATCGATCCACGCCAATTGGATACGATGACATCCATCAGCGAGCCTGACCACCCGATCCCGTTATTTGCCTATTACAGCATAGGTTGCTGAAGGCCTATTCTACCCCGGATCTTCACGGGTGCTTTGATCAATAGAATATAGTGGACACTCGACAAGATCGATGACCAAACGTCCGACCATTTACCGATACTTCTGTTTCTGCTTTTAAAAGATCATGGAAACGATGTTGTCGCTTTTATTTTATGTACATTCAAAAATATCCCAAAACACGTTTTCCCCATCGCTGTGATGATAACTGTCTTTCTCGCACTAGAAAACCCGAATATAAATACTTGAACTACTTAACTAATACTTCGGAGGCTTGAATTATTGAACTAATACTATGGAGACTTGAACTATAGAACTAATATGGCGAGAACATTAGTGACTGCTCATAATGTCACTGCCCGTTGGTTATCGTCTGCTCGGCGGAGTTGCCGACGCGAGACGGACATTGTGGCGGGAACAGTTCGCCAGGTGAGTTGTCCTCGGTCTGTCAACTATCACGTGAACATACACCAACCTCGACCCGGGCAGTGACCTTGGGAACAGATGATATACACTTGGTGAGTAAACATCTTTTTACGAACACAATTGACATGTTTGTATGTCTGACATTCACCATAAAACTAATAATATTAACAAACAAACTCGCAGACGAGGACGAAGGGCGAGAAGGAATGCAACAGAAAATTCTCGCCTCGATTTAACTAAAAATAATAACAAACTCGCAGTTGATACCGAGTTTGTTTGTTATTATAATTAGTTACATGTTGCTAGTTTGTTGTTGTTGTTGTTGTTGTTGTTATTATTATTATTATTATTAGTAGTAGTAGTAGTAGTAGTAGTAGTAGTAGTAGCAGCAGCATCGTGGTATCTTTTCGGAGGCATTTACAACCGTTCGCTCCCTACACCCTCGCTATAAGGTATATCGGAATACCACACGGATCAATAAACACACTGACCAGGCTTCTCTGAAAGTAGGTCATTCAGATCCATATATTTGACCTCCGTCTCCCAGATGTGACGGTCAGCTATAGATGCCGCCCCAAGGTCAGCTACTTGGGTCAATCAGCGGTCACCGAGTCATCGATACAATCCATAGGCTATTCGTGAGTACTAAGACCGTAACTTTGGTATGCCCTAGCTGACCATTACGCCAACATTGTAGCATTTATTCACAGTCACTGAGCCGTACTATTTTCCATTCTGCCCAGCTCTTACACCATGACTATATACTGTGACCCTAAATGAAGCAAGTCTTTTCTCCAGCTCACTGGGAATCATTTTATAATGAAATTAAATATTTTCAGAGACTAAGCTTTACTTAAGAAATACAGTTTGCTCTACCCCAATGTGCAGTGTTCTAAAGTATAGTTTTGACCTGAATTGTTATAGTTAAAAGCACGAGTACGCTTGCGTCCGAGTGCTCAAATTGATGTTTTAATAGTTTAGGGAAATGCTATACATTATTACACTTGACCTGTGAAAATCCGGGGTAGAATAGGTCTTCAGCAACCCATGCTTGTCGTAAAAGGCGACTATGCTTGTCGTCAAAGGCGACTAACCGGATCGGGTGGTCAGGCTCGCTGCATGACTTAGTTTATGCATGTCATCGTATCCCAATTGCGTGGATCGATGTTCGTGGCATCAAACACTGGATTGTCTGGTCCAGATTCGCTTATTTCCAGACAGCTGTCATATAGCTGGAATATTGCTGAGTGCTGCGTTAAACAACAACAAAAAAACAAAACAAACATAAACATTATTACACTACACATTAGGCTCTTCCACCTAACTGTCTGCGTCCTACTATCGTTAAGAGAAAAAGTATACGTTTAAATAATGAAACACCACTAAAAAAGGTAGTTAAATATATAAGTATCATTGTATTATTCGTCCAGCGTGTGCTTATCCATAATTCCATGCAGCAATAAGTATGATTTAAATTTAAGCTTTTATTCTTCCCCGCCCTTAAGGCGGAGAAGTATACGGGAAACGTTAATTTTGTAGCATGTATGTCGACATGTTAGTTTATTTGAAGTTTCAAGCCCCGCATTTACGGAAACAAAACTTACAAATCATGTGCGTGGAATGTTGATGCTGTTCTTTTCAAGCAATAAGAAATACTTCAAAATCGTCTTTATGTAGTTAATTGATGCATCTGACCGTTTCTGGTCATTAGCTGACATTATTAAAACCATTCATGTGTAATCCGATGTCCTTTTTCCCTCAAGGACTAATTTTCTGATTTTCACGGTGTATACAAAAGAAGAACTGTGCTCCGGAGATCGTAAATAACAGCATAATAAAAAATATTTTCTGAATATGCTTATTCATGAACAACGACGACATCTCAATTTAAATGTAATATGGCTGAATTCCACATTCTACATACCACACTTTTGATTGTTTGGATGCTCATGTTCACTGGAAATATTTGGAATAGTTATATTCCGTATTTTGAATTAACCCAGTCCCCCGTGATTTTTTTAATCAGTGCACCGCACATAGCCACATGTGAAACGTTTGGTAGCAATGTCAAAGCAAAATCGGAGTAGTGTGTCGGCGAATTTGCATCAAGGCTGTAGTATTTTTCAACCGTTTAATGGAATTCAATGTACAGCCGTAGCTCTGGTCACTCATATATTTTGTGTCCCATGGCTCAAATCTATTTGCGTCTGTACCGTGTTCCACTGACCTCGATAATCTGTTGGATGAAGGCACAGCTCTCTACAGTCACATAGTTAACACCGATGGCTATGAGGGGTATTTAGGTCATAATCAGTTCCCAGCAGTCACCACCCCAAACGATATTGTCTACATAACAGATCAGTTTCATGGCTCCGCCACAGGTGCTCCAAATATTGAAGCAGGGAAAACAAATTTCATAGAATCATTTCAAAAAGCAATATTGATATCCCCGTCACTTTTGGTAACTTTTAATGATGTCTCCATTGCAATTTTTACGGATTTTGATTCGTATGCATTATTTGACTCTCATCAACGGAATGGTTTGGGTCAGATTGATCCGAATGGACAAGCGGTTTTACTTCTGTTTAGTAGTATGGATGAATTGTTATGTTACATCTTAACAGTATATCAGGCGACTATGCTTGTCGTAAGAGGCGACAAACGGGATCGGATGGCCAGGCTTTGGTTGATGCATGGCATCGATCCCAATTGCGTGGATCGATGCTCATGATATAAGGCACTGGATGGTCTGGTCCAGACACGATTATTTACAGAACGCCGTCATATAGCTGGGATATTGCTGTGTGCGGCGTTAAACGACAAACCAATCAATCATCATCATATGAACTCAAACCAGTCATTGTTACAAGTAAACCACATTCCACAACAGTTACTGACACTGGATAAAAAACAGTACATAGAAAAAATACCAAGTAACTCAACTCATCATGATCACAATTAATATTCTTTGAAAGAAAGAAATACGAAAAAGAAACTGACCAAAAAACGTAAAACAAGAGACGAGGAATCTCCGTTATTGATTAGTCCCGGTATTGAAATGTTCTCCAACTACGCGATAATATTTTGAGTTGTGACCAATAGACCTTATCTAGTATGACTTTTTTGCCATATGGAGCCCTTAGTATTTTCATTTACATTATTTTTTATACTATTCTGATACTATTTCCACATGTTTACATTTGTGCCAGAAATTGCTTCCATTTCCTTCGATCTTCTTTTTAAATAAAGACCCAGGTTAGAATAGGTCTTCAGCAACCTATGCTTGCCGTAAGAGGCGACGAAGAGGATTGGTTAGTCAGGCTCGACGATTTGGTCGATGCAAAAAATCATATTCCAATTGCGTAGTTCGATGCTCTTGGTGTCAATCACTGGATGATCTCGTCCAGACTGGATTATTTACAGACCGCCGTCATATGGCTGAAATACTGCTGAGTGCGGCTTTAAACAAGAAACTATTTTTAAATAGACCTTCCCTATGCAAATGTATCAACTGTATTGCCCCATACTCAAAATAAATAATATTTCTTCCACAACAGCGTTGTGTTATTTGTGGTTCATATAATTATGCTCCTTAATGCCTTTCAGTAACATCATAATTATGCGTTTGTGAGGCATCACATATGGCGGGGAACTTTGATGCTTTGCATCAATGTTTTCTTGTATTAATTTACTTCCGTTTAATCACATGACTCAAAGCATTCCACAAGTGCATTGTGGGGGCCGTGCTGACACTTGTAAAGATAGCCGATGTTCAGTGTCGCTGGTTACTGTGAGTTGAGGTGTTTTCTGTCGTGAAAGCTTGTTTCCACCACTAATGTTAGCAGACTGCAGCAACTGCAAGGAATGAAATAGTTTGCTTACCGGTTGCGCTACAGTCATGATATCGCAACCGACGTGAATCGACGTCCTGGGGCGTGATATGGCGTCGCCGTGGAACAAACATGGCGTCGTCGTTGGACGAACATGGCGACAGTGGTCTATTTGCTAGACTGCAGTATGATGTTAAATGTCATACACTGAGAGGAGTATATGTGGTAATGAAGTTATGTGTATGACATATCTCTGGTTATTCCTAGGGCACCAACGCCCGCCTCGGACATAGAGATTACTACACGAGTGTCTGTCAGATACCATTTATCTTACAACGAGTTGTTTCAAAACGTATCTAACGAGCGAAAGCGAGTTGTAAGATCAATTGTATCTGACAGGCACGAGTGCAGTAATCTGTTTCTTACACACCCAAAATCGCACTTTTTTAGTATCGAATCGATGCATTTTGTCTGTTCTTATGATCGCCGTGGAGCATTAATACAAAACAGTGACATCATCCGACGTACTGCTTGCTATTCATAAATAATGTGACCCTACACCTAAACCTAAAAAAACGTTTCCGCCATCTGTGGATTATAAAGGCGATGACGACAATGGAAACTAGATAGATCAAAGAACCCGCATGGTGACGCGTTAAAAACTTTCACCTCAAAGAAATTGCTAACTATGTACAACAATATTTACTACAGTGTGACATCACTGCTGGTGACCGACTTTTACAAAATGGCGTGTTCACTGACAACAGGGATTTTCAAAGGAGGATTTTGATTTTCGTTGATTGAGGGGTGGTATATACATAAATGTGTCATGTAAGTAATCAGAAACGATCAGACAATCTGGGTACTGTTATTTGTTTTTTATGTTTTCCAATGTAACCAAGAGAATTTGTCAGAAATAACTACCGTCGTCGTTGTGCGTGACTTTGCATCAGCCATGGCGTCACACGGGACGGAAAATTTTACGATTTCTGTTGAATTTACCTGATCATTGTAATGTATATGTTTTTAATTCCAAAATTCGTGCTACGATACTCTTCCCACGAATATTCTCAAACGTCAGCCAATGTATACAACAATTAGACGAATTGATCTCTCAAAATAGGAGAGTGTAAAATCTGAATTTTGCTTTGTTTACATTTCAACAAGTACAATTTTCCGAGCACAGTGTCGGTTTCCACACCTAACAAAGTTGGCGGGGGATATAGAAACGGGCTCCGTCGTCCGTCACGTTTCGTCTCCGGCGCATAACTCAGAAACAGTTCAATATTTTTTAATGAAACTTTGCAGGTCTGTCAAGTACATCCTGACCTGGTGCCTTTTGCTATTTAGAAATTTTAGAAATCTTTATTTTTTACGTTTCCATGGCAACAAGATGGACTTAGGATCTGTGAGGATAGGGTTCGTTTCAGACGCATAACCCATAAACCGTTCATTATTTCTTCGTGAAACTTTGCAGGTTTGTCAGGTACATGCTGAACTGGTGCCTTTTGCTATTTAGAAATTTTAGAAGTTTTTATTTTTTACGTTTCCATGGCAACAAGATGGACTTAGGTTCCAAACTCTTCTTTTTTTACAATTTCCATGACAAGTTCCACCTCGGTTAAAACAGGTTAGGGTTTGTTTAGGTTTAATTATGTCGTAAATTCTGCAACAGGGGCGAGGGATATAGCTACGTTAGTGGCAAACTCTTGTTTATTTTTATTTCGCTTGATTTCATCTAGAAAGACCATTTGTCTACCTGTATGATTCTACTCTGTATGAGGAATTCAGGGATGTATGTGTCGCAGCTGAGTTTGAAATGTACGTGATCTAATAGGCGTTTCATAACCGGCATACATGAAACGTGATTTTGTGAACACTATCCAATATGTCGGAAAGTGCACATCGGCGTTCGTGTTTGCGTATTTTCCAAAACACTCCGGCGCAGTGGTACAATTATATGCTGGCACTCTCCTACCCAGAGTTCTATGCGACCAGAGGCCAGAGCCATTCGTCAAATCCACCACAGTCCATTTAAGATATTGCATATGTTTTTCATTTGTTTCATTTTTAACAATATAATTTTGGTACATTTAAACTTAACAACTGTAGATTTTTAAATATTTTTATTTCAATGATTTTCTGTTTGATTAATCTGTGCACTGGATTCCCAATGATTTTAGGTTATATGTGAAGTTGATTAACTTCTGAATATGGGTATTTTGTGTTGGTCAAATGACGTCATGAATAACAGGAACAATTTTGATTATGACCCATAAATGACAGTAAGCAATTTTTGGACAGTCATGGAAGATCAATGTTAACAGGGGAAGGGGGGGGGGGGGTCTCGCAGGGTCAAGTACAGACTTATAATTAAGATACACAGTTTCCCCCCATCTAACAATGATGGACCACTAATCCATCAGTGATCCATTAATGGCGGTTCACTTATCCCATAATGATGTTCAGTGATCAGTCAGTGGCCATGCACTAAGCCCATAGAGACAGTGCACTATTCCGACGCTGTTCCCATCCCTACAGGTGATATTCTACATCCGACTAGGATGATTAACTCATCCTACAATGGTGGTTCACGAAGCAGACACTCATGGCTCACGTTTCTCGCAAGGGGGATTTACAATCCCATCCGTGCAATAATTATTCTCAATCCCTACAACGTTTATGTGTAAATCCTGCAAGGATGCTTGATATTCCTACAATCCCTTCAATGTTAAAATGCAATTCCTACAAAGATGCCAATCTCATTAAAATCAGATCTTAGTTCTCGCTACCGCTAAACAAAGATCTGAGGACATCCCAGGGGTCACTTCAGAACGACCTTTCATCCGACCAATCAGAGCGTCGCTTACCAGATCATGAAAGTGACAGTCGGAAAGTGTTTTCTAACCATGCAACCTCGAAAACGTTAACACGGGGTGTTCCGAACGACAGTTACGGCCCGTACGACTGATTCCGTCAAAATTATCGTCTATCTCTCGCTTCCGTGGGAGAAACATTTGAACGGAGGAGGCGTTGCACAGTACTTGGGAAGCACTGCCATGCAATCGCAACCATATATTAGACATTCCCGAATGATCGTTTGTTCAGTTTTGAAAATTTTAATCGAGAACTGTGTCAACATATTTTTCAAGCATAGTCTGAAACATCTTCCTAAGGCAGGAGAGTTAAAAGTTACTGACTATAAAAGTCCAGTTTCCACCCTTGCCGAACTAGGCTGGTATTAGGCTAACGAGTCTATGCATGGTCCAATCAAAATTGCGCAAACCGTCGTGCAAATTTCGGTCGATTGCAGGATTTACAAAGCCTGTGCATCGCAAACTCGTTGTCAACAGATATTTTCAAAATCTTTTCATGTTTATAATCAAGGTGCTTCATTTCGGGATGTAAGACCCGTTTTATCACAGCATTGATATTGATTATCGATCAGATCGTCTTGATTTGGCGCCGCCATTTTGTTTGAAGCAAAGGCAAGTGATACGAGAGGTGGAATTTGATTGGTCCATAGGAGCGGCATAGAAGGGACATATTTCGTAATAGCCACTGGTGGCGCTACGATCGAGCACAGGAATTCAAGCATCACATCTTTGTTTAGCGGCAGCGAGAACTTAGATCTGATTTTAATGAGATTGACAAAGATGCTTGATATTCCTACAAGCCCTACAACGTTGATGTGTCATTCCTACAGAGATGCTTGATTATCCTACAATGCCTACAACGTTAATGTGTAATTCCTTCAAAGATGCTTGACATTCCTACAATCCCTACAATGTTGATGTGTAATTCCAACAAAGATGCTCGATATTCCTACAGGCCTACAACGTTAATGTGTAATGTCTACAAAGATGTTTGATATTCCTACAATCCCTACACTGTTTATGTGTAATTCCTACAAAGATGCGTGCAAACATTATTCACAATCCATACAATGTTTATGTGTAATTCTACAAGGATACTTGATTTTCCTTCAATCCCTACAATCCATCCAAACTTTTGAAAATATGTTCGAGAATTGAATACGAATGCTTGAATGCCAAAATATGAGTCATTGTAAATAACCCACAACAGGGTATTGTGGTGATATTATCCCTTAACTATTAGGTTCTTTACTGTCAGTGATTTATACTGTCCAGTGATTTACGACAAGCATAGTCGCCTTTTACGGCATAACGGTATGTGAGGTGAGGTGAAATGGGGTTTAACGCCGCGTCCAAGAATTTTGCACTTATATATAGCGACGTGCATGTACTTGTACGTTTGCGTGGCTGCTTGTACTAGTCCAGACTGTTGCCGATTTATAGTGCTAGCCCACTGAGATACCATGCCGTAGTTTAACTTGAATACCCCACTCAGACACAGTATATTGACTCCGAGCCAACCAGTCCTTGTTTTAGCCCCTTATGCCGAGCGCCAGACAGGGTAACGTCTTTTAACGTCGTTTGATATGACGCGACCGGGGATCGAACCCCGGACCTTCCGCACTCCGGGCGGACGCTCTACCACTAGACCACGGAGGCGGTCCATAACGGTACGTGTGCATCAAACAGAGGCGCATATAGGTCAAGGACACAAATATAAGTGCAGTTGGACGGAAGCCCATGGGTGTGCTGCGTTCTGTCAGAGAGTCTATGCAAGTTATATATAAACACCCTGGTTACATAGAGACACGAACAGGCTTCACGTGTTACGTGATCAACAAGCTCTTATTGGGTACAGATTCCGCGGGAGGCTTATTCCATGTGGTCTCAGATTGATTAAGGGGCTAGAAAATAGATAGAGTGATCAAAAGGTTTAGGCTATTTGGTTAGTAATGCTGGTTACTGTATATATTTTCCTGGGATGAAAAGAACGGCACCATATAAAGAGAAATATATAGAAGACGCCAACTGAAGCCAATTATCTCTTCATTCAATCTGACATGACAATGTTTCAAGCGTGGATTATCTGTCAATAAAGCACAAGCCAAGCATCATTTACGCTCCTTAACTTAAAATAATGTTGTATAACAAGTCGATATCACGTCGGACACTGCTGTTCATCTTTACTGATGTGAAAACCGTAATTCTTACCATCGAACGTGAGGTGACTTCGTTCAAGAGTTACGTGTATACATTGTTCCCCTACACTGATGGCCAGTCAGTTACGCCGACGTAAAATTGAATCGGTTGTGTGGAAAATGATCATGTGTACAACGCACAGGTCACAAATCAGGTGACTTAAGTAACATTGATAGCGGAGAGAAGCTGTATTGGTGACCATGTTGTACCTCTCTTTACCTAGCAGTGAATGGGTACCCGGTAGGATTTGATGGTAATGTGATTGTTAACCTTATAGAGCCTTATAGGCAGCTTAGGTCGTATACTCCCCAGGGAGCTGAGAATGAAGTGCATACTGGTCCATTGATCGGGGTAATACTATGGTAATATAAGTTGGAAGTCAGGCGCTTAACACAAGGGTTATAATTTGTTTAGTGTCAGACAGCTTCAAACTTTCATAAAGGTGAACCGCCGTCATATAGCTGGAATATTGCTGAGTGTGGTGTTAAACAACAAGCAAACAAACATCATCAACAACAAGGTGAAGGATGTTATTCAGGTAATTATTTTAATTTTTCTCTAAAATAATACGTATAATTGTCTTGCTTGCCGATCATGTATAGATAAGCTATTGATGACGCGTTCTCTATTTCAGCAGGTGCACCTTCTCTAACTCCCTAGGACAGGAAGCATGACAAAGTTGGTTGTTCTCATCCTCGGGGCTGGTAACGCAGCCCATGTGACAGCAGGTCTCACAGCATCTCGCGAGAACACAGAAGCGAGAATACTAACCCTTTTTAAGGACGAGGCAGAGAGATGGACGAAAGTTATGGGGGACGAAGGCTTGACCATAAACCTGCATGAAAGTGTTGGGGATGTCACTGTAAAATCTAAACCAGCTCTCATAACCAAGAATCCAGCCGAAGCTATCGAGGGCGCTCACATGATTATATTTTGTGTGCCAGCATTTACACATCAAGGGTATTTCGAAGCCATTGAACCATACATAAAACCAAACACAATACTTGTTGGTTTCCCTGGGCAACCTGGTTTTGAGTTCCAATGCTTAGACATCCTGAAGGACAAAGGTAGAAAATGTCCAATTCTTAACTTTGAATCCCTACCCTGGGCATGTCGGATAAATGAATTCGGAAAGAGCGCCACAGTTCTTGGTCTAAAAGTTCACCTTCAGGGTTCCATCCTTAAGGGAAACAGCAATCCAGATAAAGATCCTTGCGAGGTTCTTCAAGCTGTTATTGGCCCAGAGACAAAACTGGAAGTCGGCAAGCACTACCTAGCACCAATCCTGGACACAAAGTCGATAGTTCATCCACCAATAATGTACGCCAAATGGAGAGACTGGGACGGACGGCAGTTGTCTGAGAAACCGCTTTTCTATCAAGGCTTAGACGAGACTCAGATTAAGTATCTAAGTGGCATCAGCGATGAGTGTGTTGCAGCAGCCCGTGCGATCACAGCCAAACGTCCAGACATAGACCTCTCAGGAGTAGTCCATCTTCAAGACTGCTACAGAGTGGACTACAAGGACACAATTGGTGACCCAACAAGCCTTTTCACGATCATGAAATCCAATTCTGCCTACGATGGTTTAGTCCACCCCATGGTTGATGAACCAGATGGTAAGTTCTCCCCCAACTTCAGATACCGCTATCTAGTGGAGGATGTCCCTGATGGCATAGTGGTAACCAAAGGCATTGCACTGATTGCTGGGGTACCAACTCCCTACCACGATGAGGTTCTGGCGTGGTGTCAGAAGAAGCTGGGTAAGGAGTACCTGGTGGGAACTGATCTGACTGGCAAGGATATAAAGGAGACCAGATGTCCTCAGAAGTATGGATATAACACCATTGAGGATCTGCTCAGCATTAAGTAGGCATACAATACACGAATATAGAATAACCAGAGCCATGCTTATACATGTATTTCTGTTGACGTGGATCTAGGAACTTGAAACGTCTTGTCCTCAAGGAGGGGATATTATCACATTTGAGGTTTGTTCGGTTCTTACCTCCGTGGTATAGTTAGATATATAACAACAGATTCAGATGCTGTCGCTCTGGCTTCTACTCATACGACAGTATGATTGTCTCGGAGAGCGGTAACGTGTTTCTTCAACCCCAATAACCACTATGAACTCGAGATGAACTACCTCAATTCCCTCTGTGAAGCCCAAGACGACATGAACTACCTCAATTCCCTCTGTGGATCCCAAGCCGACGTGAACATCTTCAATTACCTCTGTGGAACCTAAAACGAGAAGAACTAGCTCAATGGCCCCCTGTGAAACGGGACGCAATTAGCTTCCTCGATTACCTCTGTCGAACTAAAACTACGTTTGTTATCTCGCCTTTCATTGTGAATCTAAGGCAGCAATAATATCTTGCTGATGATTTACCTTCTGTGTAACCACGAGGGTGGTCCAAACTTAAAGCCAAGCTCCTGTATAGTATAAGTTGCAGCAGGATCACGAGGGGTACATGGGTTTTTTACACTACTGTCTAGAAGTTCATTCCCATTACACGCATGGGGCCACTCATATGTAACCCGTCCGCCACGCGTTTGTACCCGATAGACAGTCAGGCAGATAGATATTATAAAATTATTTTAGTCTTCGCTGTACCCCATTACTACAATAAAATCACACCTTTGGGTTAAACTACATAGGCCATTACTTATGTTTGTTTGTTTGTTTGTTTGTTGTTTAACGCCGCACTCAGCAATATTCGTGCTATGTGGCGGCGGTCTGTAAATAATCGAGTCTGGACCAGACAATGCAGTGATTATTATCATGAGCATCAATCCACGCAATTTGGATACGATGACATCAACCAAGTCAGCAAGCCTGACCACCCGATCCCGTTATTCGCCTCTTACGTCAAGCATAGTCGCCTTTTACGGCAAGCATGGGTTGCTGAAGACCTATTCTAACTTCTTCACGGTTGTTGGTGTGTTGAAGCAATTATGGAACAAAACCAGAACAACGATCAGCTTTTCTTTTGAGTGAGTGAGTTGGGTTTAACGCCGCTTTTAACAGCTTTCCAGTTACATGTATATCACGGCGTGTCAGCTTAATGTGGGAGGAAAGCCCAAAGTGATGCAGGTCTCAGATGTTTACCACTTCGGTGAAACCCATCGATCCACGCAATTGGGATCGACGACATGCATCAACCAAGTCAGCGAGCCTGACCGCCCGATCCTGTTAGTTGCCCCTTACGACAATTGGTAATATTCATTATATGAGATTTATTCTGCCTCTCAGAAAAGTCTTGCTCGTGGCGGGGTAAAATGGATTTATTCACCCACTAGAGAAATTTATTTTCCTCCAAGGAGGGATACAGAGTATTTAATCAAGATCACGTGGACCAATCAGATCTCATCATTCTGATATATGACGGTATGATAACTGTATTTATCACACTTCGGCATGGTATAAGTTGTTTATACTTAAGATATTTAATTTGTAGACACAAAACTCTCTTTTAAGAAGGTGCCTTTATAAATAATGTTTTATGTCACATCTATGTTAACAACAATCTAGTCAATACCAAGAGACGGTCCTTCTCGGTGACATCCATGCATGCTCTAACCGCCATCAGATAACAATTTGGGTGCCGCTGTACAAAGCAACCTTAGCGCTACGACTGTCGTAAGTCAGTGTTAAGGTATAGGAGTTACGATCACCTTAGCGCAAAGATCGCTTTGTACAACGGCACCCTGGTCAATACTAAGAGAAGGTAATCCTGGTGACCTCCATGCTTGCTCTACCCGCCATCAGACAACAGTCTTGTCAATACTAAGAGAAGGTCCTTCCTGGTGACCCCGATGCATGCTCTGACCGTTATCAGACAACAGTCTTGTCAATACTAAGAGAAGGTCTGTCCTGGTGACCCCGATGCATGCTCTAACCGCGATCAGACAACAGTCTTGTCAATACTAAGAGAAGGTCCTTCCTGGTGATCTCCATGCACGCTCTACCCGCCATCAGTCAACAGTCTTGTCAATACTAAGAGAAGGTCCTTCCTGGGGATCTCCATGCATGCTCTAACCGCTGTCAGACAACAATCTGTTCAATACTAAGAGAAGGTCCTTCCTGGTGATCTCCATGCACGCTCTAACCGCCATCAGTCAACAGTCTTGTCAATACCACGAGAAGGTCTTTCCTGGTGACCTCCATTCACGCTCTAACCGCGATCAGTCAACAGTCTTGTCAATACTAAGAGAAGGTCTTTCCTGGTGACCTCCATGCATGCTCTAACCGCTGTCAGACAACAATCTGGTAAATACTAAGAGCGGGTCTTTCCTGGTGACCTCCATGCATGCTCTTACCGCTGCCAGACAAGAACCTCCTCAATACTAAGAGAAGGTCCTTCCTGGTGACTTCCATGCACGCTCTAACCGCCATCAGATAAGCTGGTAAATACTAAAAGAAGGTTCTTCCTGGTGACCTCTTTGCATGCTCTAACCACCACAATGCATCATTCAAGTCGAAAATAAGACTCTTGACATTTCGACGTAAATGGGAGGTTGCTTCTTCTGATGCAGATGGAAGAACAAGGTTCCTGAAGACGTTGAGGCATGGCAAGCACAACGGAGCGCCTCAGCAGACTCTAGATAACAACCCGCCCCGTTCAGTCAGCCGTAGTCTTGTCATACCGACCCTGAAACAAATATATCCAATACAGCCCAAGTAGTCTATAATGTTTGGCAAGTCTAGATTACTGCATTATCTGAAATTGAAGAAAAAGTCTATGGGCTCCTTTCAATTATATTTCGTAACTTTAATTAAACAAGTGTTTTCTTCTGTAAAGTATGTTCATGTTGGTCTAATGTTCGCCGATTCTTGCGTAAACAACGATCCTGTCTGACGAGGTTTATAGATTCACATTTCTAAACCACAGACAGAAGGGAATTTATATAGGAATGATTCCCTTAACGGCAATGTGCCTGATGCCATTCGCCTTTAATCTGGCCAAGAGTCTTCGATCAATCGAAGCACTTTCGTATCGTTATTGGTGATAAAACAGTGATTTGACAATAAACTGGGATGCAGTATAAAGCCGCAGCCAGAAATTGCCGAGTACAAACTGCCTGACAATACACGAGTCAAAATAAATCAGGTACAACAGTGGTTGAGTATAGTCTTACGCCGCTCATTGCAATATTCAAGCACCAGAAATGGGCTTCACATATGGTACCCATGTGGGGAATCGAACACGTCTTCAGCTCGACGAGCGAACGATTGACAGCATGAGCAACGACCCACGCCGCCGGATTGTCACACATTGTGGCTACCCGATCCTCATTGTGATAGGGACCGCCTCCGTGGTCTAGTGGTAGAACGTCCGCCCGGAGAGCGGAAGGTCCGGTGTTCGATCCCCGACCGCGTCATACCAAAAGATGTTTAAAGATGGTACTTGTTGTTACCCTGTCTGGCGCTCGGCATTAAGGGGCTAAAACAAGGACTGGTCGGCTCGGAGTCAGTATACTGTGTCTGAGTGGGGTATTCATGTTAAACTGCGGCATGGTATCTCAGTGGGCTAGCACTATAAATCGGCATCAGTCCGGACTAGTACAAGCAGCCACACAAACACACACACGTACATGCATGTCGCTATATAAGTGTAAAAATCTTGGACGCTACGTTAAACCCCATTTCACCTCACCTCACCTCATTGTGGTAGGCTCTTACAACAAACACGGCTGATGACGAAACACCCTGAATGAGTGGGTGAATGGATGTTTAGTCATCTGTAATATACCAGGTTCCACCTACACCAGGGCGATATACATGCAAAGTACAATTATGTTTGGATCATACAAATAAAAGCGATGTAACCCCTTCCATATTCGTATGAAATCTCTGCTAAAAGCAGATTCTACTCCGAGCATATCATGAACATGTGTCCACGAATCACCATCAAACAGTGATTAGGCCAGGCATTTGCCCTCGAAAAGGTTAGCGCATCCCGCACCACCGTTGGCATCCCGCAACAAACCAGTGGTCGACAGTGTAACACCGATCTACGTCACCATGGAGATGCCAGCTTTACCTTACTTGACTAACGGAGAGCGGAAGGTCCGAGGTTCGATCCCCGGCCGCGTCATACCAAAAGACGTTAAAAGAAGGTTAGTGTTGTTAAACTACTCGGCACCAAGGGGCTAAAACAAGGACTGGTCGGCTCGGAGTCTGTTTACTGTGTTTGAGTGGGATATTCATGTTAAACTGCGGCATGGTATCTCAGTGGGCTAGCACTATAAATCGGCATCAATCCGGATTAGTACAAGAGCGAGCGAGCGCACGCCCGCACGCACGCACGTCGCTTTATAAGTGCAACAATTGCTTCCATCGGATCAATAAGTGTATTGTTGTGTAGACAAGGTTTCTCACAGCTATCGGAGTTCGTGATTCGACTGTCAAAAGAAACTGCAACATTGGAGTCTTAAATCTTAACAGATGAACTCTCGAAGTGATGTTTTAGTGATGCTCAAACATACTTATGGGTGAGTGAGTTACAACTTACGTTCCATCGGAATTTTTCAGCCGAACATGCTTATGATGTCGTCGGAATCATGCATCCTGCTTCCAGGAGCGATTCCTGATGATTTTAAAAATGGTTATTCCGCTTGTATTTATTCAAACCACTGGATAATATATCACTGTCAGAAAAGAACCTAATATTCAAGGGAAAATATCACCTCTTTACTCTATTGTGAGTTATCTAAAATGACTCATATTTTGGCATTCAAGCATTCGTATTCAATTTTCGCACATATTTTTAACAGTTTGGGTGGAATGTAGGCATTGAAGGGATAGCAAGCATCTTTGTAGGAATTACACATCAACATTGTAGGGATTGTAGGAATATCATGCACCTTTGTAGGAATTTGGGGTATTCATGTTGAACTGGGGTATGGTATCTGAGTGGGACTATAAAATCGGCATTTGCACACACACACACACACACAGACACACACACACACACACACACACACACACACACACACACACAAAGGCAAAATGACGGTAATTATGTGAATAGATCACTGAAAATCAGTAAGACACCAGGTGATCGTGAAACGAGCAAGCATGTCCTGCCCTACCGGCATCACCCGCCACTCATTCAATTTTCATTAAAAAAGTGTTGGTTGCCTGACGCCAGGCAGAAGAACTCCTGCCCGGAGACGGCGGCCTGCATAGAAACCAGACAATTAGTCTGTCACACAGACCCTGAAACAAATATATCCAAGACAGCCCATGAAAGTCGATAGAATTTAGCACGTCTAGATTACTGCAGTATCAGAAAATAAAGTAGGTCTCTTTTATTATATTTCATAACTTTTTTAAAGTCAAAGGAACCAATCCGCTGTGGAATCAATGAAACTAGACTTGGTTAAGTTTGATCTAGGCTTTTAGTAAAAGAAATATCACTCTCTATATAAATTCCACTAGTCTCTTTTACAGACCCTGATACAGCCCATGCAAGTCTATAATGTTTGGCAAGTCTAGATTACTGCAGTATCAGAGTCTCTAGGCTCCTCTTTATTATATTTTTATTAAGATAATGTAACAACTGTTTTAATCTGTAAAATAAGTTCATTTCAGAGACTAGATGTTAGTCTCCCAGACAATTTGACTGACGGGGTTTTTTTCAGCGGCGTGACATCAAA